GAGGGCTTGCGCGCAATCAGCCGTGTGAAACATCCGGCATGCGGGCCAAAACGGGCCCATTAGGGTGTTCAATCTGGCCCGCTGAATTTTGAAAATAAAAAAAATATATTATATTTTATTAAATAATAATTAATAATAAATATCTAATATGCTTTGCATGAAAACAAAGTGGGAAAACATGGACATATTGTTATTTATAGTTAATTACGTAATGATTGTACTGGTTTTTTTTTCACCAATATTGGTACCTTGTTACTTTTGTTATTTTTAGTTTTCTTTTTTATCAACTTGAATATGTATTTTTCATAACATAATAGTCATCGATAATTTCATTACTTCATTACAAAATGTAACCTAAATACAGTAGTAGGGACAAAGATGTCTAGTGGACTTGATCGTATAGAGCCGCTGCTGTCTTCGGGTCATTGGTCACATGACATGAATGGATCAGTTCAATTTTACGTTTGTACTAAGTTACCCCTAAAGATGTTAAAGGGACGCACGCACTGTTCTCATTTGTTAATTAGTATCAATACTTTATGAGAGGAAACAGTGATCAATCGATATATATTGATACCACTGAACGTCTGTGCAAATATTGAGTACAAATCTTTATTTTTTCATTCTGAAGCATTTTAACAATTAAAATTTACAAAATTGAAATTAATTCGCTGAAGGTGGCCGGACGTTTCATGTATCACAGGATCATCGTATCAAAAAAAAAAGACATTTCCACAGGTTCAAATGAACTCTTGTTCTGCGTTTGGCCTTGTCTCCTCAGCAATCAGGGAGGAGCTGGGCAGATCCAGCACGGCATAGAGAACCCAAACGTGCTGTTCAGGACATCTCTGCAGGTGGTGGAACACTGCAGCGGCGATTGTGGAGACGATGGGCGACGGCGAAGACGACGGTGACAACAAATGACATGATCTCCAACTTTTTTTAAAGGACTCTACTGTGTGGGTGAAGCAGCGCTCTATGACGGCTGGGTTTCACAGAAACTCCCCCACCCTCCCAACCTCACCCCCCGACCCCTGCCTCAGACTGGGGGCCCCCCCGGCGTGCTCGGCCCCAAAAGAGAGGCAAAGGCCTTTATGCAAAAGAATAACTATCCCTTTTTCTTTTTTTTTTTTTTTTTTTTTTTGTGGTCCCACGATAACAACTAAAAGGTCAGTAATCACCATTGGACTCGTGGCCGATACTCTGTTAACCATCGGCACACAAGCGAAGGGCGACTCGGAATCGGAGCTCTTGTGATTTACTATCAACAGGCATGTTTTTCTTTGAAGAGTGTGACGCTGGGAGAAAAGTTGGGGATGGAAATGGACCCCCCGTCTCCCCCACAATGCCATAGCGGTAGCGTGTGTGTGCGCATGTGTGTGTGGGAGAGTGTATGGGGGACTAACGATGGTCTCTGGTGAAATCCAACACTGCAGGACACTGTAAAGCTCGTCTTCCTTAAAAAAACAAAACAACAAAAAACGCTATTTTAACCTGAACATGTTAAAAAAGAGAAAACGTTATATAGAATATCGCATATCTATCAGCTCGTCTGTCTCCTCCGGCGTCTGCAGCCATATCAAGTAGCTCAATAATTCATCCTTTCTGGATCGTCTCTCTCTACTGTTACACTCGCCACAACCATGGTCGGAAATATTGATGGGGAAAAAAAACAAAAAAAAAAAACTTTTTTTTTTCTTCCCGGGTATTTTGAGTTAAAGATTCTCTCTTTGTTTTTTTTGTGTCTGTCACACTTTAGATGCATGTACGGTCTTTTTTCGTATCTGAGGAGAGAGTCGCAAGTCTGCCACGAATTTGTATGGTGTGTCACAAGTTTCTATTACAAGCAATAAGTGTAGCATCTTTTCAGCTGCCCACAACACACGCATTTTTAGTGTTCATCCTTTCTGGCCACGTAGACCTGCCTTTCATCTCGACTGTCCTGCAGACCGTCTTTTGCGTTATTATTTTTTTTTTTTTTTTTAGAGTGGAATAATATCCGAAGGACTCTTGAGGAAGCAAATTTCCTGTAATTTCTCAGTTATTTTTTCCCCCCTTTCTCACCCCTTTCAATTCCATGGATACTGTTTCTCAAGCATTGGAGCCGTACTGGATTTTTATTATTTATTTTTTACTTTACAACATTTGTACAAGAAAAATCACATCAGCGGTAGTGTGTCTGAGTTGTCGTCCACTCGAGGACGTTATAGTGCCATTTACTTTTCGACCAGTGCTTATGGATCACCTTCGTTTCATCTTGTCCTTTCCTTTTTTTTTTTTTATATATCTCCTGCCATCTTTGGATCCTTCGAACTAAAAGCTACATTTATTCAACTGGTGTAAACAAACATGATAAAAAGGGAAATGTCAATTTATTGAAACAAAAAAAAAATTCCTTGCACTTCAGTGCTGAGTTGAGTAGAATCGACACCACAGGCGTATGGCTGGGGCTAAGACTGATGATTGAGACCTTGGGCGTGGGCCTGTTGCAGCGGTACAATCAAACTTTATGAGTCTCTCACAGACCCTTCTGTGGAGTCGTGCGTGGCCACATCACGAACAGCTTCTTGACTTTTAAGCGGGGGTTAGAAGATGCGGCCGAAAAAGAGGTTTCAAAGTCATCCCTGAAGTCGTTGAGTATCTAAAAATGTTGATTTTATGCTGTCATTTTATCGGAGCAAACACTTTACTGATAGCGTATGTGGCAATATGCTTAACAACACTGCACGCTGCAGTTAGGGCTCAGATCTACTGCTCTGACTTCTTGGAGGTAGTAACAATATTTGTAACTTTATGCTGTGATTTACGGTTTTTGTAAAGTGGGAATGCCCCAAACTTCACAATGCTCACTAATTTACATAACATTACTGCTTAGTAGGGATGGTGGGATGCATCTGTTTCATATCCAATACCGATACTGGTACTGCAACTTGGGAGTATCTACCAATATTGATACAAATCTGTTACCTTCTTTCCTCCTCCAGCATGCCATGGGCTGCCGTTGCTGAGGCGCTAGCGACCCTGTTTACGACGTGTCGCGCAAAGTTAAGTTGACCATTTGGGCTTAGGTATCGGATCGAACGTGTTGTAGTTTGTTTTTCGATGTTTGATCCTGAATTTTTTTTTTACCAATATCTGAAAAATACAGATCTTGATTATGGGATCGAGGCATCCCTACCCATAATGCACCCTTAATCACTTTTCGCGACAACCTTTTAGGCTAATTAACAGCCATACCTTGACGGTGCACATTTTTTTGATAAAAACTGTAAAGCCACAATATAAATTTCAAAAGTAATTGTTTGAACTCTACACAAATTTTGGCTAACGATCTTAAACCTGATGCCCTCCCGAATATTCATAAATCAGGAGCTGTCTGTCCGGCACAGCTGTTCAAGGGCTTGGATGTTATAGCTTTGTTCAAATAGATTTTTAAGCAATTTTACACTTAGGATAGGATTTTATTTTTCCTCCCCTTGATCTCTATCTAGTAGTTACAGTAGGTTTGGGTCAGATTAATGACAAGGGTTGTTGTACTTTCGAAATCATTTTATACGCACAGATGCCTTTAGCATCTGCTCCAAAAATATGTCACTTCTTCTATTGATGTAAAAAGTGTTGATCTTTTCATCCCTCTGGTCCAAAAAGAAACACATGGCCATGAACCTCTCTGGCCGAAGTGTTTTCACAGCATCAGTTGCACTTTACATAAAATCAAAAATAAAACCACAGATCAAACCAACCATCCTCACAAACACAGGTACTTTCAGCCTCTGCGGCCAACAGTGCGGCTATATCACCAAAGGAATTAAAGGCAGCGTTCTACTGCTAAACGCGATCGCTCTCAATAAAGTCGCCTTTCTTATTTTTGTATTATTTCATCAAAGAAAAAAAAAAAGAGTTACGAGTTGTCTGTCTCTATTTTCAGTCCTTTGTACGTGATGGCAGGTAAAATGTTTGGAGCTATGTGGTCTGTGCCTTGTTCTAGAGTTGCATTTATATGTTGAAATATAAAGATGACTAGTAATAATATCGAGAGACTGTAATTACAATCACACGAAGCAATTGTTTTGTTTCTCCTTCGTTTTTTTTTTTTTTTCTCTAATCGTAGTCTTTTGATTTGAACGGAGCCTTCAGTGACCTCACTACTGTTCCTCACCAAGAAAACATCCTTCGCACCAAGCTCTTCTTCAAGCTTGTTTTCTTTCCACACGAATAAATAGAATTTGTTTCTGTACGGTTGTGAAGTTGCTTTTCTTACGACTCGAGATACACAATCAGACCTAAACGTCTCCCGGCTTCGGAAAGAGTTCGTAGACGATGTCTTCTCCGTATGATTTTTCCTAGACCATGGCCCAATGAGTCTGGCTGCAGTTTTCTGTTGTCTCATGCCATGTAAATCTCACGGCAGGTTTTGTTATCGATGTTTTTTTGTTTTGTTTTTTTTTTAAATATTATTTTACTCTAAGGAAGAAAACTGTAAGCAAATTGATTTACTATTCTGCAGCAAGCTCTGCTAAAAATGTAAAAGTTTCATCTTTGTTCATGGAAACGGTTCTTCTCTGACGAAGCTAAGGGAAAGGATTGCGAACTTGCCGGTACAGATCCAGAGTAGTTCAAATAAAGCAGGTTTCATCGATGAGTTCTTTTACCATCCTCTTTGTACCATACTGTTTCACTTAAATTAGTCTTTCTTACATGCTAACATATTGTTTTTGTTTGAGCGAATAAAATAAAAACTTCCAATATAAAACCACTGGCATTTTCTCTGTTAAGTATCATTTGCTACCTAATGAATTTAGCATTTTTCCTTTTATTCAAAATGTATAAAACCACTGGCATTTTCTCTGTTAAATATCATTTGTTACTTGGTGAATTTAGCATTTTTCCATTTATTCAAGATGTTTTTATATGTTGTTGCAGGTCACCAAGATAAATATAAACATGCAAGCACGTCATAGCAGGGGAAGACCCATTCACGAATGTTGCTGTAAAAGTGGTTTTCTCCAGTTCAACTTTACAACCCTTCAATTGGCTCTTTCTGTAGGCACGGCCTTGCCTTCGCGAACATTGCAGCTGAAGTTCATTTGAGGTTTTGTTGCTAACTGCAGGCAGAGAGAGAGAGAGAGAGGTAGAGAGAGAGAGAGAGAGAGAGGTTGTGCTGTGGCAACAGACAGGAAACACCCTAAGATGGGGAGGGAGGGAGGGAGGAAGATATGGGGGGAGGTCAGTGGGTGGTGGAGAAATGACTGATGCTGTAATTGGAGAGTTTAAATTTTCAAAATCACTTTTCTTCCTCTTTTTTTAGGCCGTATCTGCACTGACTTGACTACGGTGCTGATTGTTTACAAAAGTTGAATTGTGCTTCTTTGTAATATTCATTGATAAGCTATTATAATTGAGGGTTTTCCTATATTTTCCTATATATAGGTATAAAGGTCATACGTTCTTGTAAGTATATATTTTTCAAGTTTGTTTTCAAGGCTTTTGAGTATATGTCGTGAATACATTTCGCTGAACTTGCTGGTAGAGTTACAGTATGACCTGTTACTAATGTAAAACAGATGCAGGTGTCTTTTTTTTAGAAGCTCTGCATGATTTAAATTATATTATTTTAAAGTATATTTAATGGGAGCGTATATGGTGAGATATTCATTTGTTGCATTTGTTATTTTTGCAGAAATGCTTGTGTCCTCACAGCTCCGTAGACTTCTACCATAATAATGAGAGGCTTCACACAGAAACGTGCAATTATCTCGTTAAAGCACCATATATCAATTCAAGAGCTTACAAAAACGAGCACCGTGTGGGACCGTGAAAAGCAAAAATGCCGTTCTAGTTCTTTGTGGCTATATAATATAATTATATATATATAATTTATATTTTTAATTGTCCTTTAATGGAGTATAATAAAGTATTCCGTTCTATTTGTACTGCTGGAAATTCTACACCCAGTAAACAGTAGCTTTTATGGAGAGCAAACTGTTTTACGTTGATTCCGCCCATGACCAATCAAATCGCTGAGCTTTTTGAAATGAACGCTGAACTGACCAATCACAGGCCTTCGCGCCTTCCTGTCAGTGGTAGGTTTTGCCCAGAAAGGGAGGGAGAAGGAACTCTACGTCAAACGTTAGCTCAAAGTGGATGTTAAAAATATATAGCTACTTTTAATTTCCGCGTCTTTTTTTTGACAAAGTCGTTCACTAACTGGATTTGTTCAGACTTCGCGAAGGTACGTGACTTTGCACAGAGGCTTTATGAGTAGTTTGCCGCAGCAAAACGCGTTCTGTTTCTCTTTGTTGGGAAAGTAGTGCTTAGCTTAGCCGAGGCTAACCGAAGCCGTTCACGCAGCTGTACTACAGGCTTTGGCTTCTTTTCTAGACTATGACTTGTTTGCTGCTGTACCGTTGTATGTGACAAACTAAAATCCCAGCTGCTCTACTGTGAGCGTTTCAAGTAACGCTTTTATGTACGGCTGCATTACACGACGTAACCGGTTAAAATTAGACATTCGATGCCTCCTTTCAGTTAAAGTTTTAGTTTTGTACTAACGGGTATGTAAGCCAAGTTTTTTTTTCTCAAATCGCGCTCGAATTAATTTAGTCTTTTACTCGGCCGCCCACATTTAACCCGTTTTTCTTAAAAATGTAATTCATTCGAGCTTGTGTGGATGCTTGGGATGTGTCCGGTTTCCTACCCACTAATGTTTGAATGCATGACGTTTTCCCTCCTCGCGTTAACAACACTATTGTTTACTCCATTTATTAGTCACACGTTATTCATTACATTTTAGTAATGGCTTATGTGATTCGGACAACAAAACCAACATAACGAGGAGTTCCCTGTCAACTGCTTTTGTAAATTCCATCTACTTTAGAAAACATTGGTTAAGATAATACTGTAGGTGAGGCGCTGCCCCTTTAACTGCAGACGGTTCATCATAATTTCTCCTGTGTAGCTAGACGAATGTGTTTTCCAAACAGAACTCTAAAAAAAAAATAAACGTGGGAATTTCTATTATTAAATGTTATCATCTTTGCGATGTATCTACGTTTTTGAGCGTTACAATTACTTACTGTTGCCCCTAACGGCCTTTGAAGTTAAAGCGCTCTTTCCGTTGTGCATTAGGCATCATCATCAATAGGGGGCAGTATTGAGAAAAAGTCCAAATAACTTTCTATTAAGGATTATTTTTATTGTTAGTTATAGTTACAGGGTCACATATTATTGAATTAAAATGTATGTATATGTATATATATATATATGAGATTAATTGTTTTTGTTTTGCTGACTCTTGGACCATATCTAAGAAATCGACATTTTCTTTTAACACACACATAACTTTGCATGTTTAACATTTAACTACCTATAATTTGAGGATTTAAAGTGCTCTGTTTAAAGTCATTGTTTTAAAGTGATAGGTATGCAGTGGTAACCGTATCTCTCATTTACCTCATCTTTCATTTAGCTCCTTTTGGGATATTTAAGCTTTGCCATGTCCATTTAATTTAACCCACCTTTAAAAAAAACAGCAATGTTTTGCTTTGTGAATAATAATGATGTTGTTTGTTTTCTGATGAAGAAACGTCAAAACACAGATGTCAGGTCTATTCAATAGGCATGTTCAACTATAAAAAACAAGTAGCCTTTTCCTTTGTTCTAAAATCAATATATCTTTATATATCCTTTTTAATTTGGTCTCTGTAAAAACCTAAATCATGAGCTTTTAGTCGTTGCATCTCTGTATGTTCCTGTAAGTGATGTGTTTTTCTTCCTGTCGCACCTTGGTGGAGGTTGAGTGATATGGTACTGTTCTGTAACAACATGCATTGTTACCTCTTTTGTGTGACTTCACAACTCGACTCATTTTGCATTCCAAAAGCGCTGCATACCAGGTGGAGCCTAATAGTAGTTTTCAGTAGAGGCGGGGTAGTGTCTGCCTGACTTTTGTGTAAACTTCATCCCGTCAGAGCCAGGTCCTTTCATCAGTTCAGCCTGAGTGATTTGATGGGAAACTCTCATCAGTCACAATCTTTGCTCAGACTTTACCATTCCATATAGAACTCAGCAGATGGGCACCAAGAGCAGCACAGGGACTAATTCTAGGTGTGTTCTATTCATTTGGTTTTAAGGCACATGTGTTTATTGAGCGTGATGTGTATTTTTTGAATTGCTAGATACTCACTGAAGGAAAATGTAATGCTTTTTGGTACCGGTGTTCTCATGCGGTGTGGTGGAAACGGGTAGAATTAGAGTTATGTAAGAATTTATGTGAGGTTAAATTCTTTAGCAGTTGTTTTTGTGGTTACTGAAAAGGCTGTGAAGAATGTCTTGTTTTGACTTTGAAGCTTTTATAACTTCTGATAGACGCTCTGTTAGTCTCCAGGTCCAAACTCAATCAAGTTGTGTTGCTGAGCTTCCCATGACCTGAATGGAGCAAAACTTTTAGATGGAAATATATAGTAAACTTAGCACAGACATACTCGTCAGCAGTTCTCCAGTTGTGTGATTTGATTTTTAGTCATAGCCTCAATAGTCTATTGTTTTAAATGCGAATTGTGTCAGTCCATGTTATTTGTTTATGACGTACCGCATGGTGTCTACTTTGGTAAAGTATTTGAGTAGAACAAATCAGTGTGTTCTGTTGATTAAATCTTAAAAACAATAGTATTCCAGTTGTGATTTTTTTTTCTTCCTAAGAATATAGTAAGATACGGGAAAGAAATGTTCTCGCTGTGAGTTAATATGGATTTTTTTTCTTTGTTTATTTAAAACAGCAATTACATGATAGACATTTAGGGTTAGATACACATGCACCATTTTGTGTGTATAATAACTGGTTTAATGAGGGGGTGGGGTGTTTGTATTGCTTCTTTAGAAAAAAATAACTATTGTCAGAATATACCCAGTATTATTGCTGAGTGGGAGAGAGGGAAAAAAAATCTATAAAATAAACACTGTCAATTTCTTCCATTAACAAATGACATTTTTTGTAGAAAATGAATGCAGATTTCAAAAGATACAAAACCAAAGCCTTGGAAATGTGTATCTAAAATATACTATCTGTTGCTCTTTATTGTCATGATTATATACTATCTGTTGCTCTTTATTGTCAGGATTGACAGTATTGCTTACATTACTACGCCTATGATTGTAAGTATTGCTTATTCTTCTTTCTGTTTATGCCCTTCCATTAGATCAAAGAGAATGCCTAGTGTAAAGTACCAGAAGGGGGACAAGGTGATGGGCCGCTGGCCTGGGAGCAACTTGTACTATGAGGTCACGGTTCTGGCCTTTGACACCAACAATCAGCTTTACACTGTCGAGTACAAGGATGGGACAGAGTTGGAACTCAGGGAACAAGACATCAAGGTAGGAGCGGTCGACCAAAGTGCATCACAGCAGCAGGCTCAGTAAAAATAAATTATTCTAATTATTGTTCAATGTCATAGATTCATCTTTTTTTGTTATATTGTTATTATATATTTAAAATTACAAGGTAGCTGTGGATGAATCACAATTGTTTCAGTTTAAGTTAAGACAACTCAACGATCCTTAATAAGTATATTCTATATATTGCGGGGACCTTAAGACAATTAACAACAAAGGTATCTATGTACAGTATTGTGTTTCATAGCTATTTTTATTTGTGAACATGACCAGGACAACAAACAGAAATTAATTCTAATTGGAATTGGAATTGGAATTTTACCTGCCATCATCCCCATAATGACTATCTTCTCATATTTTACTTTCACATTTCTTTCAGAGTGTTGGCGGCTTCCAGACACGTGCACGCTCCCGCTCACGGTCACCGGGCCGCCGTCGCAGTCGTTCACGCTCTCCAGCCAGGACGACGCGACGCTCATCCTCTCGCACTGTGGCTGTTTCCGCTGCAGGTGCAGGAGATGGTGCAACTGCTTTGAAAAACAAAAAGTTGATGGAAACTTTAGAGGTCAAGCTGACCCCCGTGGTAATTTTGTCCTTTTACACATATTTAACTAATCCGAGTATAACTTAGTTTTATTACAATCAATAAAAACAACATTTACTCTTGCTAATACAACAATTTTCCAAAAAATTAATAAAGTACTATCTAGTAAGAAATAATGTAAGATAAGTAAATTAAATTAATTATTATAGCTATATTTTTGGCTTTTTGAAAAGAGGTTTAAATCTATATCAGAATAAGGCAAGAGCAATTTTATCCTGGTAGTGCTTTGGTAATTATTTGAAATGATGTATTGCAACATTTTTGACAATTTAACAATGTATTTTTCGGTTGCGCTTAATCAGATTTATTTTTTTCTCCCTCCCATTTTTCTCCCAATTTCAACCACTCATTTCATTTGGCATTCAGCAACAGGCCAAGACCCCTGAGAACAATAGCAACAATAAACATGAAAAAAGAGAAGAGAATAACGCAGCTAACAAAGCAAATGAGGTAAGTTGTCTTTAATCTTTGTTGAGAAAAAATATAATTTACAGAGATTGAAATATATCTTAGTCATGTTTTTTTATGAGTAGCTGTAGATTTATTTCTGTCCTGTTCAGACCAAAATGCTACGATTCAAATCTGGAATAGCACATTATATTTGACATTGTGAAAGTGTGAAAAAAACAAAAGCTACTTAGTTTTAAGTCAACCATGTCCTCCTGAATTTTCCCTGTGAAAAAACTAAATTACGTACAGTACATCCTGCCTGTTCCAGGAGAACTGGGCTTTAATGCAGTTGAAAGCCAATGGAATGTCATGACGAGCACATGAGAGGGGCACCACATGTTTGACTAGGATAGAAGTGAGTCACATGTTTGTACAAACATGTGCCACGTCTAATCTCCCAGCTATCGCCTCTTTACACCCAGTCCCACTCTCAGAGTTTGCCAGCCAGTCCAGTTGTGGAGATGCAGTCACTTCATACAGGAACACAAACCTAATTGATCTTGTCAATAGATCAAAGTAAACTATAATTTACTCCATATAAAATTATTTTATGATTTTTTTTACACTCGTGTGGTTTCAAGAGTCATAGACTAAGTGAATCTGGGGCCCTGATTTGCAGAGGGATTTGGGGCTACCTATTGGTCTAGAGCCGTGGTTCTTAACCTGGGTTTGATTGAACGGGTTCGGTGAGTCAGTCTCAGGGGTTCGGCGGCGGACAAGACACCCCCGCTTGGCCATCACCAAAGGGTTCGTGAATGCACGTATGAAACTCGTGGGGTTCAGTACCTCCAACAAGGTTAAGAACCACTGGTCTAGAGTAAGGAGGCTCCTGATGTGTCCAGGGAATCGGGGCTCCCAAGTAGGGATGTCCGATATTAACTTTTTGCCGATATTGTCCAAACGCTTAATTTCCGATTCCGATATCAACCGATATAGCGGGACAGTGGTAGAGGTTAAGTGTTGTCTGTTCACTATTGGGGACAAAATTGAAATACTATCAAGCGCCTGGTAATATTTATTTATTTATCTGTACTAACCACTGTAAGAGTTGCTGACACAGCATTCTGCAATATCAGTTGGGATTAATAAAATAAGTTGCAATGCTGCCATCTAGTGACTAGAGGTTTGTTATGTGCGTTATGAAGGAGTTAACAGTTATGGGTTTAGAACAAGTTACTGCAATTGTGTTTCAATAAAAGTTCTTCACAGCAACTGAAGCATCTGACTGGTCTGTCGCCGGAGCATACGTCAAAAGGCGAAACCCAACCGTTGCGTTATCGTTTTTTAATTATTGGGGTTTTAATTATCGGGAGGAAAACCGATAATGATTTTTTTACAGAGATTACAAAATGTGCTAATATCGGGCCGATAATATCGTTCAGTCGATATAATTGGGCATCCCTGTTCCCGAGCGGTCCAGAGGAAAGGATTTTACAATAAAAATGCTCATATCTTTGCAGGAGTCCAATTCCAAGCAAGAGACAGAAACTGAGAAAATCCAAGGTCGGTACAATCTACGTCGCAGGAAAGATGAGGGGGCGGCGAAAACCGCACCTTCAGTGGAGCAGGCGGAGAAGGAGCCTGCTAAGGTTGCACCTGTTGCACCCCTGTGCCCACCGCTAGATTTTGGAGGGAAGATTGGTGAGTTTAAGATTACGTATAGTGTAGCTCATAAGCTAGACTGAGACGCCAGTTTTTATCAAATGTCACTAGAAAGATGTGCAAATAAGGTTCTTTACCATATTTAGGTTAGTTGCAATAAATTACAGTGGTGGTATACATCAATAATCGTGTTTGTACAATGTGAAATACAAAAACGTCAGTGTTTCAATACTATGGTGTGTTAGTATTGCTGCAGATTATTGCTCAGTGTAAAATCACTTGTGTGTGTGCTGACTATAAGACTGTTTACTATAAATAGATTTTACCTGAAATCTGTATTTAAAAATTGTCTCTCCCTAGGAGCGTACTTCTGGCTGCTCTTTCTCCCTGCCTGGGTGCTTTTCCTGATACTTCAGGTGAACCTGGACGACCCCAGCTTGGCCAACTTTCCCCCTCCATTGCCTCCTGTTGAATCCTTCTTTGATGCCCATGCCCTCGGCTTTGTAGTTGTCTGGATCCTCTTTCAGGCCGTGCTTTACGTCCTGCCTGTTGGAAAGGTGAGTAACACTATGGTCGTGCAGTAGGATGATTGTAAAATTCCTCAGATGTGTAACACTATGGTCGTGCAGTAGGATGATGAATTCCTCAGATGTATGTTTGGTGTCATTCAATACTGTACGAATGCAGAACACAGATTTTGTTGTAACTAATATGTTTCTTTTTTGTTTTTACTCTTTCTCTTCAGCTGAGTGAGGGCATGCCGCTGAGGTCTGGTGAGAAGTTGAAGTACAGAACCAATGGTGAGTCTATGTGAATCAGTACCGATAGTCAATACACCGTGTGCAGTTACAGCAGTTTAATCTCAGTTTGGATTCTTCTGCAGGTCATCATTCTTAAAATACTTTTAGTTGTCACTTATAGTTTTAAAGGACGTTTTGGAGTAGCTATGGCAACCCCTGATGAGAAAAAAGACAGACAGGTTGTTAAACAACATTTGTTCTAAATAAGTCTTCATATAAGGTTATATTTTTTTGTCCGGTCCCATTTTTGGCATTTCTGTGATTAAGCATCAAATAATCAATAACTCAAATTTTTTTTCATTGTCAATGAATTAATCTAATGTTGAATATCAACGATTGTTTTTGACTTTTGTTTTTCATGATGATTTATATCCGTAAGATTTTTCTATTTTAAGAACTGCTTGTGTCTGTGTCGCAGGGTTCTTTGCCATTGTGGTGAGTGCCGTAGCAGTGGCAGCGGCAGTGCACCTGGGTCTTGATCTCACCTACATCCACAGTCATTTCCTTCAGCTGGGCGTGGCCTCCTTTATCATCTCTGTCCTGCTCAGCGTCTACCTGTACATCCGCTCTCGCTACGTTGCTCCCGAGAAGCTCGCGCTGGGAGGGAATTCAGGTGGACACAAATATCTGATACGCTCTGAAAGGACCAGATTTATTGCGGTTGTGTGTAATTCAAAATGTGCCGACTTTTCTGATTTCTGACTTTTATTCCTGCAGGCAACGTGGTTTACGACTTTTTCAAAGGGCACGAGCTCAATCCAAGAATCAAAAACTTTGATCTGAAATTCTTCTGTGAAATGCGTCCCGGACTTATTGGTTGGGTAAGAAAATGTACACAGTCATCTACCTCAGCACATCAATTAAACTGTTGTGTTTTCATTTTCAAATCAACCGTTGACAAAAGTTAGGTTAACATTTGTCATAAAATTATCTCCCTTTTTTTTTTTTTTTTTTAGTGCTTAATCAATTTTGCAATGGCGTTGGCTGAGATGAAGCTCCAGAATCTGAACAGTCCGTCCTACGGCATGATCCTGGTCAACGTCTTCCAGCTGCTGTACGTAGTGGATGGCCTGTGGAATGAGGTACGTTCCACAACGCAAATACTAATAATAATGTCATCTTAGGATGAAAAACACAGCCAAAAAAAAAAACCACATTCATTGTTCAAATGTTTGTTTGTCTTCCACTAGGAGGCGATACTAACCACCATGGACCTTATGCACGACGGCTTTGGCTTCATGTTGGCGTTTGGCGATCTGGTGTGGGTACCCTTTACTTACACCATGCAGGCTTATTATTTGGTGAGCCACCCCAACCCACTGAACATTCCAGGAGTGATGGCAATTGTCCTACTGAAATGTGAGTAATGTGACCACAACGTATTCAACATTAAAAAAAACTATATTCAATAAATTCCAGTCCAACTCCACTCCATGAAGCCCGGTCCATTAGCCTGGTCAGACAATAAATGTCTTTTTTTAAATGACTTCCATATGGGTTTTGAGGTATATTATTCACATTTGTAACACTTTTTTTTATTTGTTTTTTATTCAGTCATCGGCTTCTACATCTTTAGGAAATCAAACTCTGAGAAAAACGCCTTCAGGAGAAACCCATCTGACCCAAAAGTATCCTGTAAGTCGATTTCTGGTCTTATAGACGACCAGAGTTGCAGGTTGCAAAGTTATGGTTTTATTAATCTGTTTTAATCACGATACTTAATTGTACACCTGTTGTCTCCAGACCTGAAGGTAATCCCTACAGCTTCAGGGAAGAATCTTCTAGTGTCTGGCTGGTGGGGTGTTGTGCGTCACCCCAACTACCTGGGAGATCTCATCATGGCTCTGGCCTGGTCCTTGCCCTGTGGTGAGTCAGTTTCCCAAATCAAAAGGTCGATAATGTCATAACTGTTTTTTTTGACGTTATAACTTTTGAATGATTATTGAGTACTGTTTTGGTTAGAATGAACAGATGAGGTCGCATTAGCTGAAGTCAGTGGACCAAAGATGAACATTGATCCTAAACTTGGGTGTATTGAGCTTTGATAAATCTTTTGTGCATTTCTGCAATCAGTGCCCTTCTAACAGAAGTGAGTCCGTAACACAGAAGAGCATCCACTGTAACAGTTGTCTTTGCTGCTACACTCAAGTCAAGCAGTCTGAAATGTTCACATTTTTTTTCAGCTTTGTAGCCAGTTAAGAAATCCTGCGTAAACTGACGAACCTTAGCAAGAAAGAGTTGTAATCGTGTCTTCTTTTTTTTTTTTTTTTTTGTCCTTGTGGTGACATCTACAGGCATCAGTCACCTCCTGCCTTGGTACTACATGATCTACTTCATTATACTTCTTGTGCACCGAGACTCCCGTGACATGAGCGAGTGCAGAAGGAAGTACGGGTCGGCATGGGATGAGTACTGCCGGACTGTTCGCTATCGGATCATCCCCCGTGTCTACTGAGGAACCTGCAGCAGGATGCTAGAGCTGAGACCCTGTTTTAATCCCATAACTGACTTTCTAAAAAAAAAAACCAAAAACACCCCCACAATTTTAAATTCATTTAAATTAGTTTCTTTTAGATTAAGGATTTGTTACAATATTCAAAACTTGGACTTACAGTGTAAGATTTTAAGAAGTGAAGTTGGGGAAAAAAAAAAGAATTAAATGTATGGTCATTTTAAAAAGAATTTTACCGTTTAAGTAAAAGATACTTTAAATATAACATGAAATGACAAATTTGAAAATGGAAAGCGAACGCCTCTGCTAGGAATGTATCGGGTTTACAATGTGTATATATTTGTATATTTTTTCATATTTCGAGGATACACCACTTGCATTAGTTTTTGTAACTTCTGCTGTGCCCTAATATTCATATTTACATTTTTTTTTTCAGCCATTTATAACATTTTCAATATACCCTACAATTTTATTTTTACAGATTTATGTATTTTCATGGAAGGGCTTCAATTTTTTTTATTCTTAAAATAGTGACCGAAAATGATAAATTCGGTCCCATGTTTCTACCTTCCTTTAACAGATTAAAATAAAACCAAACAATGGGCATTGGTTAAAATGTAATTTAGAAAAAAAGCACACTTGGTACAATTAAGCTAGTACTGATACTGAAGCATTTGCCGATTAGAAATTAAATCAGCAAATGCTTCTTTTAAAAATAGATTTTTTTTTAATGAACATAGAAGGCCTCAGTAGATGCACCTTCTATTTTTAGATTGGTTTTAACTTTTTTTTTTTTTTTTTTTAAACTCAGACAATTTGCCAGGAAGTTGCATTAGAGGACGTTATGACTTGTTTGTTGTGTATAGTTTAATGCATACGTAGCTTTTTTTCGACTTCAGAGTGTAAAGTATTTTTTCCAAAGGTTCAAGAAATATGCACTATTGCATGAAGGTATTGATTGGGCTTTGCTACCTCAGGTTTTACTCAATGGCCAGATATGTTGTGTCTGTCCGCTAGGAGGCAGTATAGGAAATGAGTGTGAAGTCGCAGCTGAAGAAAGTTGCTTGGTCCTTCATTTTAACCATGTGTTGATAAAGGGTTGCATCACACATTTTTTATTGCAGATGAAACATTTGTATTTGTTTTAATTTCAGCGATTGTTTCAGCTACAGAACACGTTCAGACCCTGCACATTTTAACTGAAACAGAAAAGACCCAAAATGAGCAAGTGTTTTTAACAAGTATTCAACTGTGCAGCTGTAGCGTAAATATGCAAGCAACAATACCTACATTTGATTTGACTTTTTTTTTTTTAATTGCAGTGCTGACTGAAAACTCTGTAAATACTTTTTAATGTGATATTTTGAAGTCAAAGAATTAAGTAGCGAAGTAGATATGTAATGTTGCTTTTTGTAACGTCACGATACATTTTGAAGCCACTGTAATTGTGTTTACAACTAAACCGCGTTTTTGAACAATTCTTTCAAATGTACACGTGTCAGCTACATTCGGTGGGTGACCAGGATTCCGTAGCCAGCAGCCTCCACACGATGGTTTTAGTATCAGAGAAGCCTCTTCCAAAGTCGTACTTTTTTGACGTGATAACAGGAAGTGCGAAGATAAAAAAAAAGTTCCATATCTGTGGATAGGATCTGTGACAGAAAGAAAATTGGATTGTACAAATGTCTCAGCATTGTTTAAAATAAAGATTACAGTATTTTGTTCCTTATTTTAACTGTGGATAATTTGGACTGAAATCATTGAAGTATGTAATTATCTCATGTAAAAAGTCGCTTTAACTCTTGAAAGCTGTATTGGCAGATACTCAAACTTGCCGAAAATATGTATTTTTCTGTGTACTTTTCTTCAAATTTCTAGGGATGTTGTTTAGAACTAGGGTCCCCCAACTAACTGGACCAGGATCTTCCACACAGGGTACTGATTTCCTACCATACCCAAAAATCTGCAGTTGTTAAGTGTGAGTGCTGGTTTGTCTCTAACATCATCAACTTTGATCGCAGGCCGAATCTGCCGAGAACTGATCCAGCAGCAGTTAAAACGCCAGGTCGTGTCCACTAGTTGAGGATTAATGGAATGAGAAACAACTAACTTTGGACCAGACCTGCTGTGATGCAGTCTGTAAGTAAGAGAGAGCTGATTGGCTCCAACCTTATCTTCGTTCAGTTGTTACCTGTGGGCACGTGGTGGTTGGTATATGGTAAATAGTTAGGTTCACAACACTGACATTTGAGCATTTGGGTGTGTTATTGAGAAGGCCCATGGGAAAACCCAGAGGATGCTGGGCATATTAACTGCAATTTGGTGCTGAAAAATGAAAGATGAGATATAATCATGTGAATCAATCATTAAATTATAATAGACAAAACGTTTGAAGCTGTACTGCCACAAGATGGCGCCGTTTTCTTACAAATAAATCTCAAACACATTGAGAGAGCAGGATTTATTCTCCTTCCTGCATATTCATGTTTCTCACTTGATTTAAATCTAGGGAAACATTAACTTTTTAATATACATTTTATATGATCGGTCTTTTATTTTGACTAGTACCTAAGATGCGAACCAGAGGTGTCAAACCCCTGGCCTGGGGGCCATGTTTGACCCACGAATCCTCAACATCTGGCACATTAGTAAAGTAGTAACTTTAATCAAAACTTTGCCCATTAGGTTTTTTATTTATTTCTCTCAATTAAAATGTTTAAGACTATTTTGTGCTAGAATATTCAACAATATTTATATCAAACAAAACTACTATTTCTATGATTTTTTTTACTTTTTTATTATTTTTAATTGTACATTGAAGACAGATTTGACAGCTGACTAAGATCAGGTGTAATTTTCCGACCCTGAGGTCAACATTTAAACAAACAAATACCGTCTATGGGAAGAAGAATACAGAGCAGATATCCCTTTAACATAATCTGGACCAATGAAGTGGCACATTTGAAGGTGGCTATACAATTAGAATAATGTTTTAGCGCATTATGGTAAGGACAAAGGGGTTGCCCTGGGTTAACTGTCTATTTGTTGCCATGGCGATGCACTGACACCGTAGCCTTGCCTCCAGGCTTTCATCTCTCTCTTTACCCAAATAAAAATATAATGTATTCTTAAGCTTTGAAATGCTTCAAATTCAATGTAGAATAGTCAGCCAGAGTTATGACTGGGACCATAACACCAGCATGTTAATATGTCAATTCTCCTATGTGAGATGACTCACTGCAAGGATTAGTACCTTGGTGAGTATAGTTAAATACAAGGATCGGATGACGAGTATGATTTATTGTCATGCTAACGACACTAAGAGATGTATAACACACATCTACACAAATGGGTCCTTTTTAGGACTTTTGACTTTTCTCAATTAATCCTGATTAGTCACGATTAATTGCATTTATACATGGAAGCACAGTTTTCATTTTAATTGGTTAATGGTTATTTTCCCCTCATATATAAAAAGTATAAAACAAGTGCTAAAGTTAGCATAAAATGCGATATTGTGTATACCTTACACAATAATAATAATTAATAATAAACAAGTGCTAAAGTTAGCATAAAATGCAATATCGGTACCTTGGTGAGCACATTTAAATATAAGCATCCAAAAATAAATATTTTATTTCTGTTACAAATGTATAATTAATTTCTAGTCATGGCAACAAAACTAGCTAACCCTGGTACATTAAAGTTCTATAGAAACAAATGCAGGTAATTTAAACTACTTTAAGAATAGTTCCATACCCTTAGTATAAGCTTTAATAGTTATTGACCCAGGAAGTGCTGCCTTACGCCTCCTTCAGACTGTGGCATTTCAGCAGTCCTATCAGATCACTGCAAATCACAGGGTGCAGCGTAAATCTAATAAACCTGAGCGGGACATCGATAACAAAGATAGCTGCCTAAATGATGCTGACATTTATAAAAATTTACACCAGAACACAAGATGGTGATGTCCTGAATCTGGCCCTGTCAGTAAGCCCAGAACGTAGTATTACTCTCTCTTTAACGTGACCTTCCTAAATTTAAGATATTTTCAGAAATTCAATAAATATTTATAGCATATATCTGGTAGCAGGATTTTGCTGACGAATCGTCAAATTGTCGAACTGTGTGTTTAAGGTGATTAAGTCTGTATAGCCTCTATAAACCTAGGTCTAATGGTGTTGGTTATCCCCTCCGAAACATTTGACTCTTCAAGTCCCACCAGCCCAGCCCACATTAATATACAGCAGCACAGACCAACGCTGTTCAGTTTGAATTTATTCCTAATGAGATTATTAGCCTATTTGTCAGCCGAAGCCTCGCTGTGCAGTCTAGCAACAGTATAACTGGCTCTTAATTCAATTCTGAAATCACACGCTGATGTTAGTTCAACGGGTTCACTTTTTTTCCACTCCACTCTTCAGCGCCGCTGTGAACATTAATATTCTCTTTCTTTAAGAGTTGCGTTTTTTTTTTTTTTTTTATGTCCCTCCACTATTATGCAGACTCCTATATATACCAGTAGGGGGTGGGCAACTACCACCTGTGTACCTGTACCATTTGTTCATCGTCCTTCCAAATTTTATTGGTAACACGTTGGTTAAAATTGTATTCCCTTTATCATGTACAGGATGTCCTTGGTTTACGACGTCCTTGACGTACGGCGTTTTGTGGTTATGTCGCCATGTCCTGTAAATTTGACCAAATGACGTTAAAACAAACACTTCTAATCTTTTCATGTCCTAGCTTATGACAGGTACTTATTGTCAATATGTGAGTTCCAGCATGTGACGGAAGTCGCGTAACGTCGCGCCGTAAGAATGGAATTTCTGATGTACGTCACGGAAAGCGAAAACAACAGATTAATATGTTAGATCAATGATTGGGTACCAATGGTGGTACTTGGGCTCTCTCTAGTGGTCAGTAGAAAAGTGTGACTTTTTTCTTTTTTTCCAATAACTGATCCCAAAAGGTCATAAAGATCCCTCATTGGTTATTTGGGTGTAACCAATCAGGTGACAAAGAACATCTAGATTTTTGACTCTATGCACATTAAAATGATTATTTATTATTATTATTACTTCAATCAGTAGCTGCTGATTAAAGTAATTACTGAATATAGTAACGTTACACAGTATATTTTTGGGGGGAAACATATTTTTTTGGGGGGGGGTTGGGAGTTACAGTGAGAAAATGAAACCCCAGGTCTGGAAAAACAACTGCTGTATCCGTAGCCAGATAAGAGGTGACATCTCAACTGGTTCCCATAGAAACACAAGCACAGCTGTATAGAAGATAGATGAACTTGCCTGTGGCAGAAAGCGGAGGTAATTAAGGTTTTGAATGAATTATAAGGTGAAGTTACTCCACAAAGGTCAGCGTGAGTCTCATTATGAAGCACAACAGTCACTTGTGTCAGACTTTAAAGAGAAGCTGTGCTCCCGCTGCGTCTACGTGTGTGTGTGTGTGTGAGTGAGTGTGTGTGTGTGTGTGTGTGTGTGTGTGTGTGTGCCGTCCAAACACTCAGCTTACTACTGTGATTACGAAAAGAGATAGTCTCTGTTTGTGTGTCAGAGAGTGAGAGAGAGAGAGAGAGAGAGGGGAGAGCAGGGTGGGGATTTTCATATCTTTTTGAAGTCAAGATTGTGTGAAGCATAAAATAGCCTGGTGGTTTACTCTGTTGTGCATCAACACACAGCCCTTTCCTATACTTTCCTTTTTTTTTTTTTTTTTTACTCTAATCTGAATCAAACATCTTTCTGCTAACTGCTACTTTAACATGCTGTCAAGGTCATACAAACGCTATGATTTTTTTTTTTTTATGTACTACGTTTTGAACAGTGTGTGTTTCCTCAAGAGTGTGTCTTGTGGATACATTTGTTGGACCGCGGTTTCAATGATACAGAAGCCACATCAGTATGTAGAAAAATTGCAATATGTTGGGTGGGAAAGTAATGCTTTTACATAGAGTTGGTCGAAGCAAAAAGGTTAAAAAAAAAAGGTGAACCATTGCTACCGTCGGCGAATGTAAACAGAGACGTCTTCCTTGTCGGAATGAGGCAACGAGATTTTTCTAATTAATTTAAATGTAGGAGGCTGTGAAGTCATAAGTCTTGATGTCGTAAACCTGAGGACCCCACGTATATATGCTAAGTAAGCTAACATTTTGGAGGTAAAGTAATTAAAGAGGAGATGATTAAATATTTTGTCTTGGCCATAGCTCTTTGGTCTGGATGATTTTACAGGAACGATCTGTGCTTTCATGAGACATTTGATGGATACATTCTTAAATACGATGCAGGAGTGTGCCCTGACGATGCAGCTTTTGATGCAGGGATCTCAGCTTAGAGCTGTATAAGCATTTTAGCTATCGCTCCCTATAGCAATACAATGGACATAACGCTCACAGGCAGCTAACGTGATCCTTACAGATCTCTGGACAATATCTCCGCTAGTTTTTTTGTGTGTGTAGTTCAAACGTAGCCATAAAATGACCTGTATGTTAGACGTCAGCACAAACCTCTGGTCCAGGCGTGGGCAAACTTTCTGACTTGCGGGCCACTATGGGTCCTAGAATTTGACAGAGGGCCGGATCAGGAGCAGATTTATGGAGCGTTTGTGTTGTGAACTAAAACAAATGACATGTAAAAGTCATAAATGCTAAAATGCTTTAAGCCTTTTCTAGGCCATCTATTGGAAAAATAGAAGTATAATGATAATAGAAATAACATAATTTGCACAAGTTTGGTGGGCCGGATTAAAAAGCCAAACAGGCCGCATCCGGCCCCCGGGCCTTAGTTTGCCCATGCCTGCTCTAGTCAAACCTGATGACAAAACAGTCAGCCATGATATGACTCCACATTTAATCTGCACTGAAGAAAAAAAAATAGAAAAAAATAGTGACAAACATAACAATCTGCCATCATTAAATCCAAGACACGCATTTATATGAGCTTGTATCAGATAGTACTGAAACAGTACTGTATTTCTTTTCTTGTAGACAGAAAGAGACTAACATTGAGGGCACTGGCGTTGTCTGGTCAGGGATATCTCTGGGTTACATTGGTTTGCATCATCCATATATAAATCAATTTATCTTGATTCCCTGTAGAATTGTGTTTCACTGCTGTAGCCACTGTTGAATGCTAACATAAAAAGCCAAGCTGCCCCAACTGTTGCAAACTGCGACCAAATGTAAAAACAAAAGGTTTAACAAAAACAATTTAAATACTGCTAATTGAACTCATTACAAACAATACTATAGCTGTCAATCATTCTGGTTGTTCATACCTCATTCATCATTTCTACAATTAAAGCTAAAATATATTAATACGATAATGGTTAAATATGTGTAGTAGATATGAGGATAACTTAAAATAACTTAGCTAGGTTAGGGCTATAGGCATTAGAGTTAAAATCAGGGATGTCCGCTAATATCGGCCGACCGATAGTATCGACCCAATATTAGCATATTATGTAATATCTATAAGAATCGTTATCAGTTTTTCCTCCAATAATTAAAACCCGATATCGCAATGCATGGGTTTCACCAAATATGTGCCCTAAAAATAGTTTTGAAGAAAAAAAGGCTGTATAGTAAAGTGAAAGTCACTAGATGGCAGCATTGCAGCTCATTTAATTAATCTCATCCTCATACAGTGGTTTGTACAGATAAATTAATAAATATTACCAGGTCTATATCCATATCGCTTGATATCAGAATCGGAAATGAGGTGTTTGGACGATATCGGATATCGGCAAAAAGTTAATATCGGACATCCCGAATTAAAATCTATAAACATAGGCATTACAAGTATTTCTATTTATTGTAATGTGCAATTTATACTAAGTAGTAAGTAGATATGGTGTCAAGGGTTATACGTAAGCAAAACTCGCTGTGTGGCTCTACCGACACTCAGTGTAGCCGTAGATTTTACAGCAGCTGTTCAGTGACATAATTCGGGGAGACATTAATGACAACAACTTCACCACAAAATAGCATTCGACCATTATTGGCCTTAATGTAATGGCACTGGGCCACTGTTTACAATTGCTCTGCCTGGAAGCGTGCCATACAAAATAAATGACCATCTGCTGTGGACAGAGAGGCTGTTTACACCTTCATATGGTCCACTCAGAGAGACCACTTCTAAAGGACAGTCTTCATCAGGTCTGTTTGGACTTGACACAGTCCGCAGTATTAATCTTTCAGGTTAGTGCGGACTAGTGAACTGTGCAGTTAGGATTAAAAAATTGGGCCCGTGTGTGTAAATAACAGCTTTAAGTGTTGTAAGTAAGGTAGTTGTACGTGATATCACAGGTCACTTATACATACAACTGGAATGGATATTTTTTTCCCCGAAAGTGCTTTATCATCTCATTTAATCGAAATGAGATCGTAATTTACAAAGTAAAATATCTAGAGGCAGTTCTGTTACTCGAACATCACACACTACATAATTATTTTGGTCACTCACCTATGCTAACAAAATCATAATCTAGGACACAAAAACATCAGAAGAGTCTGACTTACACTTAGGAGCCATTGAAGTTCCCAAAAAATCAACACTAATAAAAGAAAGTGAATGTATTGGGTACAACCAGCGAATGTAAATGAAGTCGTCTTCTGCATATAGTGTGACGTGATGATGTATCTGTATTTTTTTTTTTTACACCGTATGTCAAAAAACAATGGAAGACTCCTAACCGAAGACCCCACGTAACACCGAAAAACTAGTAACGACTGCTAAAAACTCCTCAAACAAATTCCGAAAAATCCTTTTCTTCTGATACCGACAAGCTTGTTCTTAGCTTCCTTGAAGGTCCTTGTAATGTTCAGATGTATTTCTTGTTTTCCTACGATCCCATGACAAATGCCTTTTTCATACGTTATCCCTAGCCGGGCATTATCTGGAGATTACACGTCGGATCTGGCATCAAAATCTTCAGAGCAACATGTTTGCATAATTTCATTGCGATATCTTTGGTCTCTCTGTTAATAGTTAGACAGAGGGGGCACTGTTTTGACCATGTTCGAGGATTTTGTCACGCTATTGTATTTGTCATAATAGGAAAACAGTTCCATTTATTATTAGCTGTTCAAATGGCTGTAGTACAGTCATACACACATACACACTTATTGGCCCTATTTGTTCAGTCTTCCTTGCTATCTGTGAAAACTGTGTAATGACACATCCAGATGGCATGTCTTTTCTATTTGTGTGTGTGTGTTTGTGCGGCTGCCGCCTGCAATGATTTGAAAAGGATCTTCTCTCAGTGACAAAAGAATCAGTCCAGTCAGCACAGCTGTCTATCTGCCAACTCTCCTCACCGCCGTGTCTACATTAATCCCGGAGTCGTGCTGCAGTGTTTGGCCCGTGCTCTCCTTCAAAGCTCAGTTTTAGTTCTGCTTTCTCATCCGTCAGACCATTTGAACCGTTTCCTCCGCCTCTGTTTTCACACACACACACAGCCTCGTCCTCCGTCTGTTTCCGTCTCCCCCTACTGATCTCTCCTTCATTCCGCCTCTTTCGTCTTTACTTCCCTTCCTCGTCGCTGCTGTGCGGTACAGACGGATATCTGCTCTCTCTCCTCTCATTAGGAGTAACTGTCCTGACCCACTTGTACACGCAGTAGCTGCCTCATCCTTGAAGACGAGGAGTAAAGTGTGTTGCTCGCTGGCGGAGATAAACACATGTCAACTGCCTGGACTAACTTATCTCCAAATACTGGAACATATTAGAACTATTTAAAACTACTACCTTTTTTAAAACTTACTGTGTGAATGTGAATTGTGTGCGTAGTGAATTGCTGGTGTAAATTGACATTGGTAGATTGAATGCCCCCCCCTAGTGGACAGAAATGTTATAAAATATGTTTTTTTCCAATCAGTACAAACCGTTGTACGAGTTGCTGCCACCTAGTGACTGGGGGCTTTTTTATTGTTTAAGCGTTACAACAAAGTGGACACCCCCCCCCCCCCCCATTGTAAACAAAGCTCTCTTCGCTATTAGCGCTGCGCGATGACGTATTTATCCGCTCCACTTGCTAACTGGTTCCTGTGCGAAATTTGCTTTAACGCCGTACATCGCAAAGCGGTAACAAGTCTCTTTTAATATATTTACAGGAGATGGCGATGTAACTACGAAACGCTGTATGTCGAGGACGTTGTAAACTGAGGACTCCCTGGATACCTGGTACGTGGCCCATATTTTGGTTCAGTTGAGATGAGATGCTAATCCAAGATACTTTTGTCACATATGGTCGAATTTTGTATGGGGTTGTAACTATTCCAAACAGTTTGCGTGTTTTGTGTGTGTGTTCCTCCTGGTACTCATGTTCCCTCCCGCCGTGCGAAGATATTTATATATTTATAATTGGACTCTCTAATTGACCACAGGGGTGTGAATGGGTTGTTTGTCTGTATGTGACCCTGTGATGGACCTTGCTGTGTAACATGGATCGGTGCCATAATCTGTGGATGCCACATTTCTCTGGCCCCTGTGACATTGCAGACCCTGCGGCTCGAGGAGTTTCACACCCTGCCTTTACTGTCTGCTAAGGCTGCGTTCCCACACTGCCGTCCTGGCCGGTGTTGTGTAGCAGCTTTTATGTCAAGTCTGACAGCAGCTTGGTTTATTGCATATTTTCATCCACTGGCTTGAGGAGTTGCTGGGAACTAAGACTTTTTCGCAGTGCCTCTGGTACTTTTGGAAGTGGTAAAAGATATATTTGTACATTTGTACTAAAACATTTTTTTGTTTGTTTAGTGGCGGCGACACCAGGGGGTAGAAGTTTTTACAGGATCAAAAAAATCACAGTGTGACGAAAAGGTGGAAAAACAAAAACCTCTGCAGGTAAGAATCATCTGCTTTGGTTTGTTCCTATCGTTTCTCTCATTCTAATCAGCAAAGAGTGATGTCATGGAAACTGGAAAGATATATTTGTTATGAATGTTATCATAAAATGTTTTTTTAAATCAGGTTTATTTACCCTTAGCATTAGATTAGCCAACAATTTACTACATTTATTTTTCAATAAAAGTAATATATTAAAGACTTTTATTTTATAAAATCTTCAATAAAAGTAATATATTAAAGACTTATTTTATAAAATCAAAATTGGGAGTTCATCATAGTATTTTATATTTATAATGCTTGGTTGTTTTTCAAGTCTTTTTTCTTTTAATGTAATTGGGTAAATAATTGGGCTAACTGTTACCCCATTGTAACCTAGTTGAAAAGTTAACAACTCTGTCACTGACATTAGGGCGTCCTTGACCTTTGGCGTTTGTGGTTACGTGGTCCGTGTAGAAACGAATTCCGCAGAGGAACTAGTTATAGTGGAGAGGACGAATACTTTGTGACGTGGTGCTATATGCGAAATTAGCTTTGTTTACATTCGCCGGTTGTACGCCATACATTGGATTGTGCTACATTCACTTTCTGTGGTACACGAGCGCTCTCTAGTGGTACGTGGGGAAAATTCATATGTATATATGCTATATTCTAATGTTGGTCACTCAGAGCTCATGTTTTCTCAGGTGGTACAGAGTATAAAAAGTTTGAGAACCACTGTCCTAGATTATGATGTTAGCACTGTGTTAGCGTAGGTGGGCGACATAGGTACTGATGTACGGTATGTGAGTTTATTACTATTATTATCATTAATATTTCATTTGGATGATATTCAATTTTTTTAAATTTTTTTTTAATCTGTGGTTAAGCTTATACCCATCACCACTCAGTGGTTTTCAGTAACTTCCTGAATAAGATGCTAAAATGCTAATGCTAATGCTAAAATTAATTTATTCTACGTAATTGTCATTGTGCAACAATAACTCATTGCATTTTTTTTCCCATCACTGCTGATTTCCCTGTGGTTGTCACAGTGTCACTCTGCAGCCCATTACCACAGATATGGTGACAGTAATTATGGAACCCCCCATCCCCCCACCCAGACTGTGTCCTATGAAGACACACGTGGCACAATTAGCTGCAGTAACTGACAGATTCTAATTATCCCACTCAATACTAAGTCATCACATGCAGGCACATATAATATATCAAATCAGGCCTGGATTATAACTAAGTATTGATATTCCACTTATGCTGACGAACTCTTTTACCGTCTAATGCGCTATTGATCCTAAGGGAAATTTCTGTGCATTTAACCCACCAGTAAAGCACCTGATTGTTAATCATTGGACACACAAATAGTAGGCCGCAGTTTATTTGTGCAGATGTGGTGAGGGCGGGGCTATTAAGCAAATGCTCGCTTATTTATTTTTTACAAATATTTATTACCGCTGACGTTATGTGACATCAGTTCAAGCCACCTGCAGCTATAGTATTTGTAAAAGACCCAGATATGCCAAAATATTTTAAAGGATGATGTTATTAACACTTTAATTAAACTTCGTTACAAACCCATATTTTAAAGGATGATGTTATTAACACTTTTAACACTTTGAATTAAACTTAGTTACAAACCCATTAACACATTATTAACACTCATTTTAAACTATGTATCTCTTAAGATGATGATTTAAAAAAACAAACAATTAAACAAAAAAACCCAGAAGACTATAAAAAAAATATTCGCATCATCGAAAAAAAATTATATTCGTGTTTCACATTTAACCACTTCTGATTTTATATAAAATTATAAATAATTATTTTATATTGTATTATATAGCATTGTATAATAATAATAATAATGTGTTGTATTTTATATATATGTATATACAGTATATATATGTATGTGTATATATATATGTATGTATATTTTATAAATATATGTTACAGTATATGTTGTTATGAATTTGACCACATCCGTATAAAGATAGACTCTGCTAATCTAACCCATACACATGTTCATTTCAGTGAATTCAAGTGTTCCAGGAGATGATAAGGTTTTTTTTTTTCATTCTGCAGTCAGGATGCAGCACTCAGTGGTGTTGATGCTGGTGGTCCTGTGGGTGGCACAGACTGTACAGACCTGTCCTGATGTCTGTAAATGCTCCCAAAAGCCCGAATCAGAAAAGCTGGAGGTCGACTGCCACAGGAAGGCTCTTCAGCATTTCCCTGCCGGAGTGCCGCGCGATGCTAGCGTCCTAAATCTGGGTGGGTGACGAAATAAAATCCTAGTTTTAGATAAGATCATTTTAATTGCTTCTTAGCATAGTAAAGATCTCTAAGTTCTCTACATTTCTGTGTCATTTTTTTGTTGTGTAGGTCATAATGATATAACAGAAATACTGCCTCGGGCTCTGCGGTCATTTCCAAAGCTCGAGAGCCTCATTCTGGAAAAAAATGCCATCAAGTCCATCCAGCTGCAGGCCTTCGTTGGTGCCAGGCACTTGGAACTACTTAATCTTGACAAAAACCACATCACCAGCCTACCATCAAAGGGATTTAAGGTAAATGATAAAAAGTCATACAGTCCATGTCCAAAAAACTCCAGGACAACGTCTTCTACTGTTCGTCTTCTGCAGGGCCTCCTAAACCTTCGTTTCCTCAGGCTTGGAGAGAACCAGATTGGTGTTCTGAAAGCAGACATGTTTGTGAGCATGAAGAATCTGTCAGAACTTGATCTTCCTTTTAATGCACTGTCTGCACTGCCATCGAATGCCTTCAAGTACCTCACGGCCCTGAAAGTGCTGGGACTCTCCTCGAACGGCATCAAGAAGATGTCGTCGAAGGCTTTCAACGGTCTCCAACGACTGATGTTTCTCAACCTGGACAGTAACAGGTCATCCATCCATCCATCCATCCATCCATCCATCTATTGGCAGATCTATCTATCTATCTATTTATACTCTTTCTTTCATTCTTTTGATATTGAACAAAAACTAACCCTCTTAAATTATGTTTTGGTCCCAGTCTCAAGAATTTTCCTGCTGGGACATTCCTGCCTCTTCAAAATCTGGGAATGCTGATTCTAGATAACAACCTTCTTTCTTCACTGAATCCTTCAGCGTTGGATGGCTTGCTCAACTTGGAGGTAAAGTTGTCTCTTGTGAGATTGGATACAAATGTCTCGAAACAAAAGTGTTATCCAGTGTTTTCCTTCCAAATTGTTTAAAAAAAGGCTGGGCCCCAATAAGGAACAACAAATGAATAGTCAGAGGGGTGAAAATGAGAGAGAATTGCAATGGATCCATAACAAAAACAACAATATATTATAAATATATATTCACAATTTGAATTTTATTGATCCCACAATTGAGAATTTCTTGTGTTAACAGCAGATCTGCTGCAACAGTCTGCCTCTTGGAGGCGCCAAATATGTGGTTCCACAGTAAATTGAACCAGGGGCTATTTGCTTGTAAGGCAAGCGTCCTAGCCACTACACTAGGGGTGTCAAACTCAAATATACTGTGGGCCAAAATTAAAAACAGGGACGAAGATGCGGGCAAAGCTTAATATATTTTGAAAAATGAAAAATTGACAGCAAAAAAACAAAACAAAAAACATGCTATATACACCACTAATACTACAAATACTGCCAGTATATAGAGGCTATATACTGGCAGGCCAACTCTAGTACACATTTGATACGATCTCACGGGCCAAATATAATTACACTGTGGGCCAGATTTGGTCCCCGGGCCTGAGTTTGACACACGTACGCTATGCTGTGGAACTTAAATATGACAAGACCAGGGCTGAGGGAAAAAAAAGGTTGAAGGCAATTAGAGAACGAACAATCACTGCAACAGTGATGTAAGATGTTACATAGGTTTCATATGAGGATTCAGGTGTCAGAGAGATGGACCAGCATGCAACTGCAGGCTGAAGACTTCTGACTTGGAACATGTCTCTCTGCACGGATTGATTCAGGATCTTTACCTGAGGAAGAACAACCTGGAGCACCTGCCGCCGTATGTGTTCCACAACTTGCCAAAGCTCTCTCAACTGGCTCTCAGCGGAAACCGCCTGAAAACGGTGGACGGTCAAATCTTCTTCCATATGCACAGTAGGACTACGTATTGTTTTGTGCTTTTTAACAAATGACGTCATGACCGATACTATAATGATGTTCTGTGTGACCATCCTCAGACTTAAAAAAGTTAAGCATCCACGACAACCCGTGGAGGTGTGACTGTAACCTCGGCTCCCTGGTGCAGTGGATGGGACAGACTCAGGCTAAACTGTCTCCTCCTTCCACCTTGAGATGTTCCAGTCCTCCAGAACTCTTCAAAAAGATGCTGAGCAGCCTCAAAGACGATAAACTGTTTTGCCCTGTCTGACAGACTGAGTGTTAACTGCACATTTAGATTCACATTCACTCAAACAATGTAGATGTCTGTGTTGACCTAAGGTTTCAAACTCATTTTGGTTCAGAGCCCACATACAGCCTTTTTAGATGTCAAGTGGGCCGGACCAGTACAATCGTAACATAATTAACTATAAACAACAATAAGTCCATGTTTTTCATGCAAAAAAGTACAAGTATATTGGACAATATTCATATTTAATGAAATATCATTTTACAAAAAATCATGTATTTTTTTACTTTTAAAATGTATCAAGCGGGCCAGATTGAACCTCCTAGTGGGCCGTTTTTTGGCCCGCGGGCCGTATGTTTGACACCCCTGATGTAGAAAGTATATCAACTAACATCCCAGTATTCCTTCCTGTTAACCTACCCATGCAAGACAGGGGTACAGGGGTGTCAAACATTTGATCCGCGGGCCACAACTGGCCCACTTAGGGTTTCAGGCCGGCCCACTTGATGAATTTTGAAAGTAAAAAAAAATACACAAACACTTCATGTTTTGGAAATGTTTTGTAAAATCATATTTCAATAAATATGAAGATTTCTCTAAAGTACTTTTTGCATGAAAAACAAAGTGGAAAAAGACAGACTTTTTGTCATTTATACTGTAGGTAACTGTGTTATGAGTGTACTGGTCCGGCCCTCTTGACATCACCCCTGATCTAATCTGAATGCTTCATTGGCTGGTATTCTATTGTTGAAGATAATTGCTATGATGTCCACCTGAGTACAACGTGTTATTATAGCAGAACGCCTGAGAACATTCTAATTGCTGGGCATCGTGTGATCTGTGGCGTTTCCCTGTCCGTCCTGTTAGCTGCAGCAAACGGCACAGCGGTGTCAGACTGCTTCCCCTGTCTCTCCTCCCTATGTTCCTTTTTTGGTTTGTTTATTTTAATTGACTGCCGCTAAACCTATAATCGTGAAAGAAGGCTAACTTAGACCGTGCAGGCCATTTATTAAATACCCCACATTTCAGAAAATTAAGGAGTGATTGGCCGACAAGAATTTCAGATCAATTGATTTTAAAAAGAGCCATTGGGCATCACTGAGGATCTGTAGTTATATGACTATATAAATCAATTATGAAGAAAAAAGAAGAATTGGCCTGTAAAGTCCCTGTATGTGGACAAACAAAATAATAATATTATTAATAATAAAATAATACAGTCTTTGCATGTATCTCCCTGAGGAACATTGCTTTCATTCCAGGGGAGCAAAGGATTTTGGTACTTGCGCAATGTCACGGCTAGTCATATATATACATTCCAGTACTGCAGTACTGGAATGTATATACTGTGGGGGTGACTAAAAATAATAATAGTATATTTTAATTTAAAATATGACTATAAATAACCTAAACCAATCACCACAGACCAAAAAACATTAAAATATAACAACTACTGCATAATAATAATTTGACATTGTAAACTAGCTTACAACAACAACGTTGTAGCCTCCTGGTCAGCAACGAGTGAATGTTAATTGTGAAAAATCTTGTATGTTTTTGATGTGATCTAACATTCAGTTAATTTGTATTATTCTTACTGATATGTGTGCATTTTACCACAACATGAGAAAAAAAATAGTATCTTATTAGTTTTAATATCAAGTATTTACACCAAAACTGCTTCGTAACCAAAACTGATGTTCCCTCTTAGCTGCGCGCCTGGATAAATACAATTCAACATTTTCGCCCTTAAAGTTATTAACCATTGAACCGAAAAATAACGTAACAATGTAACTCAGTGAGTGACAGGTGTCCAGCCAATGATACGAGACGCAGCCAATCATACCATTGACGGTGCTGACGTATGTGCCCTGCCCATGCGCGCCGCCCAGGTTAGCTAGTTGACCACAGTGCTGCGGAATTCAAAGACGTCAATGCTAAGTAAAAATGCTAATGACCGGACACTTAACAAGTCAAAGAAATGCGGTTCTTTTGAGACTGAATGACCGTCGGAGTATGTGTAAACAGAACAACAAGTGGTATAATTGAGTTTTGAGATTTTCTTTTTCGAGCGAGAACTTCTTTTGCAAAACGTTCGGCGAAGCCTATGTAGCAAGCGAGCTTTCAGAGGGAAATATGGACTGAACGGAAGTAGGACTACCTACAACGTCACACTCATCAGACTGCACCTGGTAAATATTTTCTTTTTAACTTTACTTGATTGTTGCTGTGAAAACATGTTAATTTAACATTAATACTGGATATATAATGGTACAAAAAAGTCATACGGCATTAAAAGTGTTTAGCGGCTGCCTCACATTTAAAGACGAGCTCTAGAAATATCAAAAATAAACACTAAAATGAGAAAACGCTTGGTTCAATAGAAAAACGCCGAAGGAAATGTCGGCTGCACCAATGAGGTTTGACACAGAGTTAGACAATACGCATATAATAATGGGTTGGATCATCTGACGGATAACACTGTTATCAGCCAAGACACAAAAGTCCTTAGGTGTTGCACAGAGAGCCCACACACAATTCACACCACAGGCAGCAGCGTTACATCTGCAGGATGCTGACAAACTGTGGAGTCCAGAGGGAGAAAGAAAACTCATAAGAGGCAATAAACCAGAGTAACCCGACCAGGGGGGAAGCTGTGGATGTACAGGATTCAATCTGTGGACAGCATTTGACAGCATGTGGGCACTTTCTGCACGGGTTTGTGGGAAATACATCCTCAAGAGCTAATTTACCACTCACTGGCGTCTGTGTGTTAATAACACAGAAGCCAGTAAGATATTAAATGATGCTGCATATATTATTGTTCTTTGTTTCCAGGCAAGGCATTATAGGCATTATAATGTCGCTCAAAAGCTAATTATATGTGTGTGTGTTTGTATATATATATGTATGTATGTATGTATATATATTTGTATGTATGTATGTATGTATATGTATGTATGTATATATACAGTATGTAAGTGTATATATATGTATGTATGTATATGTATGTATGTATGTATGTATATATGTGTGTGTATATATATATATGTGTGTATATATGTGTATATATGTATGTATATATATTTATATATATATATATATTTAATTTTCCAATTTGTCATTCAGCTGCATTGATGGTACGTCAGCTGAGCAGTGGGATTTGTCACATATGTTTTTATTGTTATACATGTCAAACTACGTGTCAAACTCTAGGCCCACAGGCCAAATGTGGCACGAATTTTGTGTGGCCCGTTTGAGCTGAAGTCCATGCTGCTGAGTTTCTCAATCTGACAAATTAAAATTTATGTATATGTATATCATGTATATGTATATATATGTATATTGCTGAGTTTCTCAATCTGACAAATTAAATTTTTTTTTTTAAATCACACATAGCAATGTATATCATTTGTTACTTGAATGAATAATTGCAATCCCTTTAAAGGGAACTCTGTTGCTGATGTGTCCTCCTGGTGAAAATTTTGACAAATGTTTGACACCATTGCTTTATTAAATCCTTCCAAAAATGTTTCTTGTTGCAAATATACAAAAACAGCAAGAGTCAAATTCTACCGTTTTAGTTAGTGGAGTTGGGTGTTCTACAGTATATTGAGTTTTAAAAAAAAAAATCAGCATATATTTAAAGGTGGTATAGAATACCAGAGACCGTATAGAGACCATACCTAGTTTATTGATAGGTATAATATTGCCCTAAAATTATGTTTTTGACAGTTTCTTTTCTGTGTTGATTTTTAACTTTACTCTGTTCCATCTCTCTCCCTGCCCCGTCCTCACCTCTCACACAGAACAAACATGGCCGCCCCTCCAATATGAGATGCACGATCAGCACACTTAAGTGTCAGGCAAAGTTACCTGTAACCTGACACCACACACACCATCACGACGATTGTCGACAATCAACGTCTGACCAATCATCAGGGTTGGATTGATGGGGAATCCAGTTTGGCTAGCGTGAAAACGTCGCTACAAATGAACAAAGGAGGAAACTCAAGTGAGTTAAAAGAAAATGGAATATGTTTTGTTTTCTTTAGTTACTAATCTATGTCAGGGGGGAAAGATATTTATTGTATTTTACGATTTAATAGAAAATATCCACAGTCTTCACCACATCCAATCTTAACAGGCGTAACTGTGTATGGATAATCAGCTTGTTCACTTTTTCCTGTAACATTAAAAATAGTTTTTACAATATTTTTTTGTAGAGATGAATCTTTTGTTTCTCTTCCATCACTTCCCACCCCATTCAGATATATTTCTGTGAATACCTAATTTAGGGGTGTCAAACGTATCAGATATATTTCTGTGAATACCTAATTCAGGGGTGTCAAACGTAAGGCCCACCAAAACCTGCCCGCTACAAGGTTCGATCTGGCCTGCTTGGTAAATTTTGAAAGTAAAAAAAATAATAAAAAATTAATAATTGTGAAGTTCTGTCAAATTACATTTCATTAAATACGAAACAATATTTTCTAATACACTTATAAAATAAAAGGAAAACATGGGCCTATTGTTATTTATATGTAATTATGTTATGATTGTACTTGTCCGGCCCTCTTGACATTTAATCAGGCTGTATGTGGTCCCTGAACCAAAATGAGTTTGACACCCCTGAACTACATCAATACAAATTTCAAATTATTCTGTCACACAAAAGTGGTTGAAGCATTTCCTCTGTTTACTGATAAATACACAACCCACCAGTGACACACATCCTCTTTTTGTTGCAGTGCATGAACAGTTGAACCAAACGTACTGCTGCTGCCAGGGCAGGTGAAAGAGTAGATGCTGGAGAGAACACCTTCAGGAGGAACCCTTCTTCTTCTTAAGGTTAGTTTTTTTTTTTTCACTTCCAGAAATGCTTTCAGAGTGTTACTATATTTATATTTTGAAAGGCATTTCCTGTCAGATATCCTCTGCAACGGCTTCTTTAGCTCGAATGGGTGACGGGCCGCGCTTATGAGAAACCTCTACTCAAAATGAATTCGGCACTAGAATTGCATGCCCCTCCACCCCCTCGAGCCCCCTCCCCATCTCTCGACTATATATTAACAAATCTGCAGGTTGATTGGAAAAGACAAATTTGTGAAATAAATCATATAAAAAAAATTTACGCTAGGGCAGAGTGATGCAGGCCTTCACCTTTGTCTACAAGTCATCCTCAAGATGAAGTGTCGTTGTTAAATCCCTTTATAAAACAAAGATTTGAGTTTTGCTCATTTTTCCAAATCAACAATTCCATCGTTTGAATTAATTACGAATAAAAACTAATTGTTAGAAATGTAGGATTATCTTGAATAATAATGATTAATTTTCATTATTAACCTCACAATTAATCATGAATAATCTTGATTAATCATAAACTTTGATTTACCAGATTTTAACATTAGGGCAAAATGATGCAGGCCTTCACCTTCGCCTCCTCAAGATGAAAAGTAATGACTTAAATCCACTACCTTTATTAAACAAAGATTTGACTTATTGTTTAGCTTATTTTTCTTGACCCTTTTTTCCATATCGAGAATTCCATTGTTTGAATTAATCGCTTATAAAAACTAGTGTGAAGCCTTTTATACGGAAGCGTATTGCTGCCGCACTGAGAAAAAGAAAATTGGCTCAGTTTCACGTGATTACGTGATAAGTTTCACGTTATTATGTAATAAGTTTTACGTTATTTCGTGAAAAGTTTTACGTTGTTACATGATAAGTTTTACGTTATTTCGTGATAAGTTTCACGTTATTTCATGATGAGTTTCACGTTATTTCGTGATAACTTTCACCTTACAGTGGTCCCTCTCTATCGCGGTTCTACTTTCACTCCCATTTTTTTAAACCAATCTTAAAACATTAAAAATGTTTTAATTTCCAATATTTTCATTTTTCTAGCCTACAAGGGAAAAACATTATTTAAATAAACGAAAATGCATTTTTCAACACATACATACATACAGGGTAATACATAAAAAACATGGGGAAATCTAAAATATATGTACTGTCCATATGGTGAGCATTTAATTAATGTAGGGTACCTCAATTGGACACATAATGTTGCACTGTTGTTGTTGTTCGACTGTTGATAACAGTGTGGGGAGGTTCGTGAAGGGTAAATATATACATAAATCATATGATAACTATCTCGACTCCACTTCGCGAATTTTCCCATTTCACTGTTGGTCTTGAACCGCAACTACCGCAATACGAGAGGGACCAGTGCATTTCGTAACAACTTTCACGTATTCCGTTACGTGATGACTGTTAAGCACATTGAGTTTGCTTTGTACAAGAAATGCGCTCTATAAATAAAATTGAATTGAATGAAATGATGAATGAAAGCCCCTCTGTGAGGCAAGAATATGGCTCGTTTACACTATTCAGTTGAAGTGTAATAGATATATGCTTGACTTGAGGTTTGGTGAGATTTTGCAATTATTAGGCTCAGTGGATGAGATTTATATTAGTATGCGTACACTTAGAAAGATTGATCAACTAGAGGGGCACGGCTCCCAAGCTGGATACGTTGTCACCCACAGTGCGAGTTATCGCGTAAT